TCACATTTTTCCTTGATTTGAATCATATTCTCAGAGATTTCATCTAAGTATCTCCCCGAGGATGCTCCAATCACCTCACCATCTCCACATCTCACTGCTTTCGAAAGTGCTGCAAGGAAACCTCAATGATATTCTAATAATGCCTTTTCTTCTCAGTCTAAAAGAGAGCAGGTATCAAGGCAAGACAGAGTTGAAGACTATAAAAAAAAATAAAGTAATAAGGGATTCTACACACCATAAAGAATTGATCTGTAAATGCTGACTGATTCTTCAGAAGGGGAGAGTGAATACAGAAAATAAATCACCTGGAAAAAAATTAATTAATTTAAAAAAAAGAAAATAAATCATCTGAGAGAAGGGTTTTTCCCCCACAAATGTCTATCACCACCATAAGATATCTGTGCAACTTTACAATTCATACCCAATAACCAAAATGAAATTTCCAGGAAATGAAATACTTAATCATAATCATATTTTACCATGAAACATACTTCAGAATATGTATGAGAAGTCATATCACATCTGTTCTCAATTTTATTTTATTTTTTAACCAAAAATATTTTAATGTAGGAATTAAGATATGAACATTATGTTTAGGTGGTAAAATTCGGGTGACAAATATAAGATAAATATTAAATAACATCGTACTTCCGGTTTAATAGAAAACACAGCGGTTGTGACAGCCATGCTGAACATCTTGGTGTTAACAACGTGGTATTAAGGGAGGAATGGGCTGGGGTGTCAAAGAGGTATGCAAAGTGTTAACAATTCACATAATCCTTAGCCCTTCTGAGAAACTGTACTTGGGAAATATGTGACAAATGTTCTGTATTATGGTGGCCTCAATCGATCAGTGATCATTCAGTTCATGTGTTTTCAGCACTGAAAGCTACATTCAAGGTCTGTTCCATGAACTATTACTACTACAAACTCCTTATATTCAAAAGTGTAGTTTAAATTTAGAAAGTTCAAGGTAAAGCATATTGGTTTTCATAATTACTTTTAGATAAAATTGAGATTATACTATAGTGGTAATCAGGTATACCACTATGCAGAGTTAATTCTAGTTATCATATTTTATATTTATTGGTTATCAACTGGGCAGATTTTATGCCCCAAAAGAAATCATATCAATCCAGCAAAATAGTTACATTTAATTTCTTTTAAAGACAAACTAAAGGAAGAATAAGCTTTTCTTGATATCTCATTTTTGAATTATTGATACAAACTTACCAAAAGAAATAATTATATATTTTGCTCCACATCAAATAATCTGCAGAAAATTTCCAAGATAGCCACATTTCTTGTTCAATTTCCAAAATGAAATAAATGCTTCACAAAGTACAAAAAATAATCTCTCAGCTTCTGAATAGCCCACTTAGTTACATAAAGTATATTCTGTCCCAACACTTTCTTAAATTCAAAAAATATTTACTTCATAAAAACATGTCAAAAGACTTCCAGTCAAGATGGTAACATAGGTAAACATGATACTCGCCTCCTCCCACAATCACATCAAAATTATAACTAACCTACAGAACAATCATCATTTAGAATAACCCAAAATCTGGCTGAACAGAAGTCCTACAACTAGGAAATTAAAGAAGGAGCCAAATCAAGACTGGTAGGAGGGGTGGAGACATAGAAAAGGATGGTCCCACACCCATGTATGGCAGATAAAAATTGGAACAAATATCTTAGCTGTAAGAGGTCCCCACTGGTGAGCAAGGGGTTCCCGACCCCAGACCAGGCCCCCCAGCTCAGGATTCCAGTGCCAGGAAAAGAAGTCTCCATAACTTCTGACTGTAAAAACCAGTGGGGATTGAGGCTGATAGAGACAGAAAGCCACTGGGATTCCAGGCAGTTCCTTTTAAAGAGCCCATGCACAGGCTTATCTGACTCACTCCCTCTGAGCTCCAGTGTTGGAGCACAAACTTGAAAGGCAGCAGAGACATATGGGGAGGAGTTGAATTGTCTGGCATCAGAAAGAGTTGGGGAGGGCAGCATTATCCCAGACAAAAGCATTGGCAGAGGTCGTTGTTCCTTTGATGAGCCCTCCCCCACACAGATCTGGCCTGTGAGTGCCATATCTGAGACTCCATCAACCTGGTCCATCCTGTTTGCCCCACCCTGGTGATTCCCTGAGGCTCTGTTCCACCCAACTTTCAGTTTTACCCAAGGTGTTTCCAGTGGCTTTTCCATACAAATGGACTGTCTAGGCTCAAGCTTCAGATTTTCATAAAATCTCTCAAATTAAACATTATCTGACTTTGGCATGGCCTTATGTCTCATTAAGTGGCCCCAGGCCTGGAACTAGAAGCAGCCAGCCTTGGTTCACAGGTTGACCTCTCCTGGGCACCTCCATGCCCAACACAAGAAGCCCCCATCTACAGATCACTTTGTAGTTCATTCCATGTGGTCCTGGGCAGAACAAAGGTGGTAGCTGACCTTGGTCTGCACCTCCTGGGAGGCCCTAGAGCCAGAACCTCCAGTGGACAACTTCAGACCATGTCGAAGCACTACACAACCATGTCCACAAGAGACACAGTCAAGGAGCAAAATCAGTGGGCAGCAGAGCCCCACAGAAGTAAGTCCTACTCTGTGCAAGGATGGGCCCTTGCACAGCTGATCACACATGGTGATTGGGGGTCAGTGGTTGGTGGTCACAGCCAGCCTTTAGTTTACTGGCCTAGAGATGAATCCCTCCCAGTCACATGCCAACAACAATCAAGGCTCAACTACAAAAGGAGGGTGTACACAACCACAATGGGGGGACTCACTTTGAACGCCTAGCTTGGGTGATCAGGGAGGTTGTGCCACTGGACTCTATAGAACACTCACTACATAAAGGACATGCTATCAAGCCTGGGAGATGCAGCAGCTCTACTTAATACATAAACAAACACAGGGAGGTGCCAAAATGAGGAAACAAAGAAACATGTCCCAAATGAGGGACTAGAATGAAACTCCAGAAAATGAACTAAACAAAATGGAGGTAAGCAATCTACTAGAAGCAGAGTTCAAAACTCTGGTTATAAGGATGCTCAATGAAGTTAGAACCTCAACAGCATAAAAAAAAATATCAGTCAGAAATGAAGGATACACTAACTGAAATTAAGAATAATTTACAGGGAGTTAATAGTAGAATAGATAGAGCTGAGAATCAAATCAGCAATTTGGAATATAAATAAGCAAAATACACCCAATCAGAACAGCACAAAAAAATGAATTTAAAAAAAAAATGAGGATAGTGTAAGGAGCCTCTGGGACAACTTCAAGTGTAACAACATTGGCATAATGGGGGTGCTAGAAGAAGAGAGGGCACAAGAAACTGGAAACCTATTAGAAAAAAAAATGACAGTAAGCATTCCTAACTTGATGAAGGAAATAGACATACAAGTCCAGGATGCACAAAGATTCCAAAACAAGAGGAACCCACAGAGGCTCACACCAAGACAATGACAAGTAAAATGCCAAAGGTTAAAGACAAAGGTAGAATCTTAAAAGCAACAATAGAGAAGCAGTTAGTTATCCACAGGGAAGTTCCCATAAAACTGTCAGCTGATTTCTCAGCAGAAACTTTGCGGAACAGAAGGTTTTGGCAAGAAATATGTGATTAAAAGCAAGGACCTACAACCAAGACCCAGCAAAGCTATCACTTAGAAGCAAAGGATAGGTAAAGAGCTTTCCAGATGAGAAAAAGCAAAGATCATCACCACCAAACCAGTATTATATGAAATGTTAAAGGGTCTTCTTAAGAAGAAGAGGAAAGGATAAGATCAAAAATTTGAACAATAAAATGGCAATAAATACATGTCTCTATCAACTATTGAATCTAAAAATCAAAATAAATGAAAAGGCAGAACAGAAACAGACTCATAGATACAGAAAACATTTTGGAATTTTCCAGATGGGAGAGGGGTAAAGGGATGGGTGAAAAATGTAAAGGGATTAAGAAGTGTAAATCAGTAGCTACCAAATAGTCATGGGGATATAAAGTACATTATAGGGAATATAGTCAATAATATTCTAATAACTTTGTATGGTGTCAGATGAGTGCAAGATTTATCAGAATGATCACTTAGTAAGTTATATAATGTCTATTCACTGGGATGTACACCTGAAACTAATATAATAATGTATGTTTAATTGAAAAAGAAAAATGATGTTTAAAAAAAAGAACATTGCAAGTGTCTCCATTTCAAAGCCAGTCAGTCCATTTCCACAGCAACACTGCAGGATTCCTTGACTATGCTAAGTTGCATCACTTGACCATTGAATTTCTCAGTCTTCTTTATATCTTGAGCCTTGTCTGTTCTGTACACCAAAGAAATTAAATCATCTGTTAACTTTAATATGTAAACTCTCATTAGAAGGCCTATATTTGTGAACCACTCGAGCCTTCATAGGGTTGGTGGGGTAGAGCTTCTCGGCTCCAAGACTGAATTTCTCCCAGGTCTGGTACTGCAGGATCATGGGCCCCACCCCCACGAGAATGAAAGTGGGAGGAAAGGCTGGACCAAGATGGCCCAACATGGCTCACCTACCTACCTACCACCCAAAGCTTTCAATTTTAAAAAGCTCACAAATTAGGTTCTGAAAAATTAAATGGAAGTTTGATGCAGCCAGCTGAGAAATTTGTGCTAAATCCACCTGCCTCAATTCTGGTAATTCTGTGTAGTCTCATCTCTTCACCACTTCTTTTGGTTCTCCAGCATCAATTTTCTGGTCCATTTCATGGAAATAAAAGAGGTATTCATGCAATTGTGTCCTAGCAGTAGTTAGAGGACCGTGAATGCAGTTCAGGGGATCCTTGTAGTTGTACCACCCAGTTCTGCCTAGTTTATATCTCTTTGGATCCCTTTGGGCAGTGTTCCCTCTTGTTTCTGCACCCTAGAATAATCTGACAAGGTAGCTCCAATAAAACGTGGAAAAATCTAAACATAGCAGTTACAAAGTAGCTCCAATGCCTCCCCAACAATTTTAAAAAACACTCTACAGTGCTTGCTTTGTGAGCACACATACTAAAATTGGAATGATACAAAGAAGATTAAGATGGCCCTTGAACAAGGATGACACGCAAATTCTTGAAGCATTCCATATTTTTATCGAAGGCATTTTTGTATACCAACATTGAAATATCAGAAGCAGAAATCAGGAAAAAAATCCCATTTGCTCTAGCAACAAGAAAAATAAAGTACCTAGGAATAAATTTAACCAAAGAGGTATAAGACCTATATGCAGAAAACTATACAACACTGAAGAAATCAAGGAAGACACAAATAAATGGAAGTATGTATCATGTTCATGGATTGGAAGAATTAACATCATCAAAATGTCCATACTACCCAAAGCAATTTATAGATTCAATGCAATCCCTATTAAAATACCAATGATGTATTTCACAGACATAGGACAGACATTTCAAAAATTTATATGGAACCATAAATGATCCCGAATAGCCACAGCAATTTTGAGAAAGAAAAACAAAGCAGGAGGGATCACAATATCGGATATCAAACTATATTACAAGGCCACTGTAATCAAAATACTCTAGTACTAGCACAAGAACAGACACATAGATCAGTGGAACAGAATAGAAAGCCCAGAAATAAACCCATGTCTCTATATTTGACAAAGGGGGCAGAAGCATAAATTGGAGTAAATATAGCCTCTTCAACAAATGGTGTTGGGAGAGCTGGACAGCTACATGCAAAAAATTGAAATTTGATCACCACTGACACCGTATACACAAAAATGGTGTCTATCTCAAGAGGAATAAAAGACTTAAATATAAGTCATGACACCATAAAAGTCCTGGAGGAGACCATAGTCAGGAAATTCTCAGATATCCCATGCAGCAATATTTTCACTAATATGTCCCCTAAAGCAAGTGACATAAAGGAAAAAATAAACAAGTGGGGCCTCATCAAAATAAGAAGCTTCTGCACGGCTAAAGAAAACATCAGCAAAATGAAAAGGGAACAAACTGTATGGGAAAATATATAGGCCAATGATACATCCAATAGGGGTTTGATCTCCAAAATATATAAAGAACTCACATGACTCCATTCCAGAAAGACAAACAATCCAATTAAAAAATGGGCAAAGGACCTGTACAGACATTTCTCCAAGGAAGAGATACATAAGCCCCAGAGACATATGAAAGGTTGCTCAGCATCACTAGCCATCAGAGAAATGCAAATTAAAACCACAAGGAGATACCACTTCATACTGATCAGAATGGCCATCATTAACAGATCAGTAAACAAAAGGTGCTGGCGAGGCTGTGGAGAAAAGGGAACCCTAGTGCATTGTTGGTGGGAATGCAGGCTGGTGCAGCCACCATGGAAACAGTTTGGAACTTCCTCAAAAAGCTAAATATGGAACTGCCTTTTGACCCAGTGGTTCCACTGCTGGGATTATACACTAAGAATCCCAAAACACCAATTCAAAAGAACCTTGGCACCCCAATGTTCATAGCAACACAATTTACAACAGCCAAGTGCTGGAAGCAACCTAAGTGCCCATCAGGAAATGAGTGGATCAATAAACTGGTACATTTACACAATGGAATACCACACAGCAGAAAGAAAAAAAGAGCTACTACCCTTCATGACAGCATGGATGGAACAGGAGAGCATTATGCTAAATGAAATAAGCCAGGGAGCAAAAGACAAATACCACATGATCTCACCAATAAGTGGAACCTAACCAACAAAACAAACAAGCAAGGAAAATATAACCAGCAACACTGAAAGAAAAAAGAAACCAACAGAATCAAGAGGGGAGGAGGGAGGGGAGGCTGGGAAAGGGAAGGGAAGGGTCAAGTCAAGGAACATGTATAAAGGACCCATGGACAAAGCCAAAGTGGGAAAGGATTGAGGGAGGGAGTTTGGGGAGGGATCCAGGGGAAAGTACTGGCAGGAAGGTGAAGACAAATGTATTTGAACAATAAAAATATAAAATAAAATAAATAATAATAATTTTTAAAAGAAAATAAAAAATTTTAAAAACCCCTTGACAGATCATCTCTTTTGTTATTGCATCTGTAAATTTCTCCCTCTCAAAACTACCCCCAAAGATGTAGGACAGTAGACTTTACTCTAGGAATTTCAGAATTCTTGACTAAAAGGTATGATTAAGTACAAAAAAATATTACTATCCAAACTAATTAGAGGGAGTTATGGTCTAATTTAGTGGTATGATATGAAGCTGTTCTCAGTCGGTTTAATTGGAAACACAAATTCCATTATATTCTAAATTCAACTGCACAATTCCACAGCAAAGAATTGGGTAATCCATATAGTTCTTCAATTTCCTTGCTAAGATTCAAAGTTTTGCTTATTCTGGGTCATGAAATATGAATTATTTCAGTGAATCAACCTCTAATTTCAAGGAGATTTGAGGAACAACTCTTTAATTAGTCTTTATCATGCTTCCTTAAACCTTGCCAGCCATCTCTCCGAAAGTAAATTAAACTGAGAGGAGAAAAAATCTGCATGACCTGCCATAACACAGCTGGCTACTTGACAGATAAGTCTTCATAAGACGCATCATTCTGAAGAATGACATAATTTTAGTTCCAAGCACTAAGCGTGCTCAGAAAAAGTTATAAGGCAGTGTAAAGAGAAGTCAGAGTAATAATCTGTGCGTGTGAGTAGACTGTTTAGGTAAATATTTACATCGGATAAATAATGCATACTCATTATTTATCATTTATTTTAATAGATTTCTGCTCTGAAAATGATTTTTTATGCAACAAATATTCAGCTTCTCTATATCTTTAATTATTACCAATACAAGGCATAGTAACTTTTACTACTATTATATTTATTTTTTAATTATTATTATAAGTTCTCTGCCACAATTCACAAAACAAGTACCTCAAACCAAGCCTTACCAGTTTCACAGTGTCAGTTTTAAAAGTAATTTTTAGTTCTTCTAGCCATGAGAAAACATTAGGAACAGAAAAAGACAAAGCAAATATACTGACAAATACTTCTACTCTAAGACTCATAGAAGAAGTAGCTAACATGATGTGCTTTCAGACACTGTGCAAAGTCCTGCACATAGATAATCTGAACTAATACTCATAAAAACTAAGGATACTCTATATTATCTCCATTTGATCAATGAAGAAACAGAGGCTCAGAGAGAGAAACTCATTTGCTCAGGCCACATAACTAGTTAGAAACTGGCCTATAGTTTAAGTCTAGATTTATCAGGACAAAATGCTCAATTACTATGTTGCTTCTGTGCAGACACAGGCTCGCCTGAAAACTGGCATGTTCTACCTGCTCATGTGCTGAGGCAGAGATAGTTAGCTGCCACCGTTCAATGCAAAGTGTTGATATTGGTAATTGCCTACACAAGGACTACATTTTTAATCACCACCCCCGCCCCGTCCCACCACCTCACATCTAAGTGAGGCTATAATAAAGACAGGTTGTTACCAAGGCAATGTGCGCAGAACTGATATCAGATCTGGCCATAAAAACCTCCCCAGAGATCTGCCCTGCTCGGCTGCCATCCCATCTTCCATTTGATTCCATTAGGGTGGTCAGATAAAATGCATGACATTGGGTTAAACTTGAATTTCAGAAAAACAACAAATAATGTTTTAGTGTAAATACATCCCATGCAATATTTGGGACATACCTTATACTAATCAGGGGCATTGATATTCAGATTGCCAGATTTAGCAAATAGAATACATCGAAAATATGAATGTCCCAAATACTCATATTGCATGGGCCATGTTTATATTTACAAGTTTGTCTCAAATTCTGATTTAACTGCTGTGTTTTAGTTCACAAACTGGCCCCAGTACACCAAGAGAAAGAAGATACTGAAGAAAGAGACAGAACACTCCAGACTGGTAGTGGCAGGTTTAATAGGCAAGGAAACTTCCCAGGTTTGCCTTTAGCATCCCACAAGTGGATGTCTACACCCACCCACCAGAATCTTCAAGTTGATCAAGAGCCATTAACTGGGTTCAGTCATGTATGCTGTCCAGGTGTGCTCACCTACACACAGCCCTCTCAAGGCACCATCCTTGAGAACAGCTCCCACTGTGAGGACAGTGGCCAGAACAGTACATTCCAAGGACAGGGGAGGGAGGGAGGAGACCTCTATGCCCAGGCCCAGCTCATGGGTCCACTAGCAATCGTGTCCTCTCAATGACCTCCTCTAACAGTGTCCAGTATTTTTATTTGCTAAATCTGGCAGCTCAAATGTCAGCACCTCCAGTAACCTTAGAACCAGCCACATGTTGATGGTGGCAGAACCATCAACATGGTTCTGATGGCTGCAACCTAAGCACTTTCACCTTTGAGATTTATATAAATGAGGAATAAAGTTCTACTGTGTTGGTAAGCCACCAAGATTTGTAAGCTAACAAATGCAATGCAAAAAAAATATTAATATGAGCAATTCTAATACAAGTGCCAAGAATTTACCATTCAGGCCCTACAGGGAGGCAGCATAGAGAGTAAAATAATACTTGCTTTCGGAGTCACACCAGCATGTCCTGGGTTCAAATTTCTGCTTCATCATCTCACAACTGTGTGGTTTTAATGATTAGACTCAGTTTCTTCATCTATAAAATGGTAAAGCCAATGATTTCCTGAGAAGATATAAAAATAAATAAGATATATGCAAAAAATCTAGAATAACATTTGGCACATATTAGATCTAGTACTGATTTTGATTATTTAATAATAAGCTAATTTTATATTTTAAATACTTATTGAGGTGCAAAATAATTAATTATATGCTTTTTTATGGAAGTTTATTTTCAGCAGTCCAAGTGTCCATCAGTAGACGAGTAGATAAAACAGCTATGGTCCATTAACACAATGGAGTTCTACTCTGCCATAAAAAAGAAAAATATTTTACCCTTTGCAACACCATGGATGGACCTGGAGAACATTATGCTAAGTGAAATAAGCCAGTCACAGAAAGACAAGTACCATATGATTTTACTCATATGTGGAGTCTAATGAACCAACTGAACTAACAAGCAAAATAGAAACAGACTCATAAATAGAGAGCAAGCTGATAGCTCTGGAGATGTTGGGGGTTGGAGGAATTGAGCAAAAAGGG